ATTTAATTTACTAATTTATGGATATTAGATATAATAATAACTTATTTCTTACTGTTAACTGGTTGTATAAGAATCAGAAAGTACAAGATCAGACTCGATTAACAGGAGTAATATGGTGCTTTATTCATTTTTCTTACGCCATCATCGTGAAGTCCGCTTTCCATAGTGAAACTACTTCAATCTACAAATTTTTAGCCATTTTTTTTTCTATTCCATGAACCATAGTCGGTTCAAAAGAGATTCTAACGAGAAGTCATATTACTTTTCCCATTATAAATATACTAATTCTCAAATGCACTTTAAAATAATATGTCGTTTAGTTTAAAAATAACTTTGAAGAAGACATCTGCTCAAATCATCAAAGTTTTAAAGATATATTCTTAAATCATCATCATTTTGCATTCAATTTAAAGGTGAGAAAAAGCTCGGATTAAATCTTTGCTTTTAGTAAGAGGACTAAAACTTTATTCTTCAATAAATTTAGTTATTGAGTATCTCCTAAACCACTTCCTCTTAACACAAACTTCTTCTGACATAATAAATAAAAAGGGCTTTCAAGATATTGAACATTGAATTATCTTCCATATAATTTATATCAATTTATACAAAACCAATACGAATAGGATTTATTCTCTTGATCCATAATGTTTTTTTCTTCCATCTAAAATTAGGTTATCCTCTTGACTAGGGTCTCAAGAACCATTCAATAAGCTAATACCCTTGTGCGCTTATAATCTTTTCTGGTGATGTCCAAAATTTGTGTGTATAAATATATAATATAATTACTCAGAATATTAATCGCCTATTTCACCAAGCTAAAACATGCTTTGAATAAATTGTTCCTGAAAATCTCATAACATCTATGTGTACACCTTTTCCTCTTTTCGCATAATTAAAAAATAAAAAAATTTTGATAAGATTAATTAATTCCTAAATTTTTTGAGATTTTTAAAAGTTTTCTAAAATCATGTAATTTAAATATTAAATAAATTAAGCAATTAATTTTTTGCTCAAAAGAATATATAGATTTTAAACAAAAAAATTTATTTGATTAATTCTCGAAATTAGGAATATTTATCCCATAAAAATTAATTTATAAGATGGAAAAATTGGTAGATTTAATTATTTTTATTGTTTTAAATATATTTAGACATCTTTTTGTGGATTTTTATTTAAAAAGATCATTTACTTCAAATATTTATTTATTTTTCGTTGAAATATAATATATATATAATTCTAATAATTCATATATAATTAGAAAACCATTTATAAAATAAAATTTTTAATGAAGCCATATTTATCATATATGAAAGTTTCAACATGATTTATCAAATAGTTAAATATACTATTTAATCCTTTTTTTACAATAATTGAATTTCAATTTGGGTAAGTAAACTTATCCT